TTTTCAAACGGGACGGTACCATGCCATACCAATTCCAAACAATGCCACTTTTTCCAGGTGTTTAACAAAAAATTAAAGTTTAGCCATCCTCCAAAAAATCCACACAATTTATCAATTTTCATATATCATACTACCTTCGTTCCAAATTGATTTGCAAAGTCAATCTTTTTTGGTCAAACAATTTCTTTTTATTCACTTAATTAGAATTTCACTTTTTAATTATATTCTAATTTGGCCTTTCAAAAAAACTACTCCGTACTTCGTATATATTAATTTGGATTTTGCAACTTTAGAGAGATTTTAATGTGGTTTCGAAATATGTAAATTTTAATTATTAAAAATTGTATTAATTATCAAGAACTTAACATTAACTTTGACAAAAAATGTTGGCTTTGTAAATCAATTTGGGACGGATGCGGTAATTAATATATTTTAGATAAACTATAGTAGTACAAATTTAATAAACCATACTTCGGTCCGGTTCGGTCTGGTACCGGTTCTCATTTTATGAGAACCGGTCATGGCATTGTTTGGAACCGGTTCGGTCCGGTCCGGGACAAAAAAATTTGAAATCCGTTTCAAATCCCGTTTATCGGTCCGGTACCATACCGGTCCGGTTCGGTATCATGCCGGTTCGGTATTTTTGCCCACCCCTACAAAATGTATTTCTTTATAAAAGAAATACTAATTAATTTTGATTAAGGAACACTTACGTACTTAGAAAGTTATTTTTATAAATATTCCTGAACAAATAACTCAGTTATATTTACGGAAAATACTACATACATTCATGGAGTCAACAGACAAACTTCCTTCATTTGGGTGATGTAATGGATGACCTACTTGACACTATACTGATATGTAAAACGGAGTATTTTTCCAAAATACTTATGAAATTCGAATCAGGTGAAAAATTAAAACCGCGGCGACTTTCCTTGAATCAGGTGAGAGCTGTCAAATGGGTCAACCCACCCCGACCCGCGACGGGTTATGAGTTTCATGGGTCGGGGTGGGCCAACCCGTTTACTGTCGGGTCAGAGTTTTTGTGACCCTAACCCAGCCCACCTAACCCACGGATTTCGCGGGCCAACCCGCGGGCCACCAATGTCAAAACAAAAAATAAATAAATATCTAAATTAAAATCCAAACACAATTAAAGTAATGCTCCCTCCGTTCTGAAAAGGTTCGCCAAATTGACATCTTTGATTAAGAAAAATCGATATGGTGAACCTTTTCGGGATGGAGGTAGTAAGATTTATGACTATCATTGACTTCATCTGTGACACCGCACCTGAACGTCCTTGAAAATTCGATTTAAAAATTCCAAAGTGATGTATTGAATTTCCGATTTCAAAACAATGGAAGAAACGATTAATATTTTACGAAGTATATGATTGAATATTGTATTGTTCAAACCCGCATTCGTTTGTAATTTTCATAATGTAAATTATTGGGATGAGCCTACACATATTGGAGATCAATAATGTGATTTAGGAAGTTGACTTGTTCTAAATAAATTAGGATGAGTACAAAAAGACATCTTTTGACAAAGATAAAACAATAGGACCCATTTTCCCCATTTTTGGAAGTATTGGTAGATAATTTGGATCCCAAATTAATTGGGATCAATTGGGAACCACTCCACATGATTAGAGTACCTACAAAACAAGAAAATTAAGTGAGGAGACTTACCTTGGCCGCACCAGCTGGAGGAGGGCTGCACAAGACTTGATTGGAATCAACCTTGAGACCCACCTTGTCAATTTCCGCACAAAATGGTGTGCTGTTTGTCTCCACTCATTATGGGAGTTATACTCGACCAAACAACGTGTATAAGGTGTCTTTGGATAGCTTTTGAAGTCTATTTTCATATTTGAGTGGCCACAGTTCGAGAGGAGAAGTCAATCATCCAAAAATCGATCTGGAACGAGCAGAGGTCTGTGAACTCGAGCTGTGAGAGTGCTGAGACTGTTTGGCCAATATCTCGAGTTTTACCAATCCAATTAAGGCGTGTGAGATACCAAAAGAAAGCTCTCAAGACGAGGAATCCGTGAAGGTCTGGTTTGCATCAATCGGAGTAGAGGAAGGCTTCCAAATCGTCCGAGCAGAACGAGACCTCGCAGGGACGGATTTACTCTTCTAAGTGAGTTGTTAATCCCAAAACCTTTCCATTCATTTTCCAAATGATATGAACGATTGGTGGGACTATTATACACTACTCCAAGTGTATAAAACATCCCTATTAAGTTATTTTATTGATGTAAAGGTTAGATACTAACCTAGATGCAAACATTGGAAAACTAGGAATCGAGTTAGCCGGAAAACACCCGTTCTAGGGGCTGTTTTAGTATCAACGATTCGGGGTTGAAATAGCAACTTGAGGAGGCTGTTTAGCACCCATTTTCAAGCAAGGAACTAGTTCCCAATCTTCCTTGGCCGAGGCTTTAGCCATTGGATCGAGAAGGAAGGTTTTAAAGCTCATTTGAGGTGAGGATCGACATCTAGTTGCTTACAACTTGTAGGTTAAGCATGAGATTACCTAAATGCTTAAATAATGTTTTCCATGGATTATGATGATAACCTATTGATGGAATATTGATCTATTTTCCAAAGAACGAAATAAGAAATGATTTGGTAAAGTATTGATGAAAATGGAGTTAAATGAACTATTGTGTGAAATAGGCATTTTACTCATGTGTGAATTGTGTAGATACATAAATGATTATTTATGTATTACATTGAATGATTAAGTTGCTGCTACATATCTCTAAATATGTAGGGTTTTACAAATGGAATATATGATTGATAAGAATAATCTTAATAGTATTGAAATACTAGTTAATGATTGTTGAAATTGTTGAAGAATTGAATCTAAGGATTTGATTGTAATTAATGAACTTGATTGTGATGCAAGTGACTAAATTGATGTAATGTGATGCTAAGACCATGGTTGGGCAGTCCGTAGGGATGTCCCAAGATAGATTATTGATATTACAATTCTAGGCCTAGTGAGTGCTTAGGAATTGGGGTCTATGCCAATGTAAGGAGATGTACTTGAGCCCGTGCTCATAGAATTGCATTGGGTAGACATGATGAGGTGATTGTGTGCATGGGGATGTAGTCGAGTTGGACTCGAGAATGCACGGTGGAGTAGTTAGCTTATGTTAATTAAGGTGCATGGTGATGTAGTCGAGTTGGACTCGAGAATGCAAACATATGTGTTAGGGTTGAACCCTATGTATTGTTGTGACTAGGGGTCACGGGATTTTGGAAAAATGTTTTATAACAAACATGGGCCTTTGAGCCGGCTACTTGACTTTATATAAAGTAAGTATATATTTTGAAAGGGGTAATTTGAGATTACGGCCTATACTATATTATCACCCTATTTGAGGGTCTTGTGTGTGAAATACTTGTTGTATATCTATTAGATGCCTGCCACACCAGCACTTTATAGCCCTATAGAGTGCTGACCCCTTCGGGGGCGTCCCACCACCATTTTTCAGGTTGAGGCTAGAGCTTGCTTCCTGTGCTCGTTGCTCGAGAGATCATATAGGAGGGAAGACTTGGTTCGTGCTTCCTCCATTCTGTTTTTTTAACAATAATAAACATGCTCATGGATATTTTACTATAGAGCCTGCGTGCTCATGAATAGCCATGTGTGGCCCTTTTGTTTTAAACAAAGTTTTCCGCTGCGTTATGAATTACTTATTATGTTTGTTTATGGATGTACATGTGTGAATGATATTCAAGACGCCTTGTATAATATGAATGTGTTGGACTGCGGTTGACTATTCGTATTGTACGGCGGGTTGTTGACGTGTCCGGATAGGTCCGGGGCGTGACAATTAAGTTGGTATCAGAGCCTTAGTCCATAAACTTCATAATGAAGTCTCAAAATTCTCTTTTTGAAAAAGATTTTGAAAACCATGAGCATAGGAGTTTTGTACTTGGAGAGCTTTTGGTACTTGGGTTGCAAGGTCTCTAATTGTTAAGATGGTACCCTTAGCAATTGGCATGGCGGTGACTCGAGCCAAAACGTGTCTTAAGTACCTATCCGTCAATTGACATTTGATACGAGTCTAATGACTCTTTCCAAATTTCTTTCAGAAATGGACGGTGGTGGCAGGATTACTAGGAGAAACCCGACGGGCCGTGTACCAGTGGAGACTGGACAGGGCAGTCGAAGGACCTCTAGGGCGTCTAGGGGAGCTGGCCGTGGAGGCCGATCACAGACCGTGAGTGACGGTCATGTTGACACAGAAAGTGAAACCTACTGGTCCTATGAGGACTCAACTTACCAACCGGAGACCGAGCCGGTTGAGACCCCTTACGAAGGGGATGACGATGATATAAGTGATGAAGAAGGGGAGAATGACTCCCTAGCCAGAATCGAGGCGCTGCTCCAACAATATCAGCGGGAGCGCGAAGAAAGGAGGGAACGCCGAAGGCGCCGGGGAGGGCGAACTTTGGGTGGGGCTTCAAGAGGAAGAAGCCAAGGCGACTCTAGGGCCCACATTGAACCACATGGGGGCCGGGGTGATGGAGGTCCGATCATAAGGATCTCAAAATTTCTCAAAGAGGCGAGAGACTTGGGGTGCAAACCCTTCAACGGAGCAGGTGACATCTCGGTTGCCGCGGAATGGATCAAGAGGCTGAACGAAGCAGCCCTTGATATGCAACTCACCCCCGAGTTTAAGCTAAGGGTGGCGGTGAGGTTGCTTGAAGGGATGGCATCCACATGGTGGGACGGAGCCAAGGGAAAGTATGGCAACACGGTGACTTGGGAGAATTTCCGACAGGAGTTCTTTGCCCAATATTATTCTGATTTTGAGGTGAACGCCAAGAGGAGAGAGTATACCCTCCTGACCCAAGGGGGCAAAATGACGGTGAGGCAACTTGAACACAAATTCAGGGAGCTCGCGGAGTTCATACCGGAGTATGTGTGTGACGAGAACCGGATGGTAAATCACTTCTGGGATGCCTTAGACCTGGAGGTGCGTGAGAGGGCAACACAGTTGCCTAACATGACTTTTAGCCAAGTGGTCGAGCAAGGGTTAAAAGGAGAGAAAGAATGGGAGGAAAGAAAGTTGAAGAACGCCGAAGAGGCAAAGAAGAGGAAGTGGGAGAACCATGGGCATCAAGGTCCTAGCAAAAAGGGGAACCATGGGGGAGGGGGATCTTTTCGGACACCCCCCCTGCCACCTAGGGGAAGTCATGGCCCGGGCGGGCAATCACAAGCCTCGGGGGTGACTCGTTGCAAGAATTGCAAGAGGAACCACCCGGGGAAATGTCGTGACCCTCCTAGATGCTACCAATGCGGGAGCACCGGTCACATGAAGATGAGCTGCCCACAACTGGGCGGGACGAGGGCATCAGGGCCAAGTAGTGGTAATACCGGGACACGGAATCAAGCCGGGACTTCACAAGCGTCCAGGGGGCAAGGGGGAGCAAGCGCAAGCAACGCGCCGTCCGTGAATCAAGGAAGGACTCAAGCTAGGGTCTACGCGATGACGGAGGCGGATGCTCAAGCTAACCCGGATTCCGTTGCAGGTATTGCCTCTCGTATACTAGTGTTTTATCCTTAATTAGTCCATAAATTGAAGTTATAAATCCTAGAATCCAGGTGGGAGCAGACGTAAGATTGAAATGGGAAAGGAGAGCAAAACCATGCTACTACCCGATCGGGTAGGGCAATAAACCCTACCGGGTGGGACGAGTTTTTGCCCTCGTAAACCTTCTGGATCGCATACCCGATCGGGTTTGGTAATGAACCCGACCGGGTAGGACAAGTTTTTGCACTCATAAGTCCACTGGAACACATACCCGACCGGGTATGGTGGTATACCCGACCGGGTTTGTCAAAAATTTCTGCCCGACACCTTCTGGAACACATACCCGACCGGGTATGGTGGTATACCCGACCGGGTTTGTCAAAAATATCTTCCAGACACTTTCTGGAACACATACCCGACCGGGTATGGTGGTAAACCCGACCGGGTTTGTCAAAAAAATTCTGCCCGAACCCACTGGAACTTATACCCGATCGGGTATAGTATGTTACCCGACCGGGTACACCTCGAAGTGTTCGTCAAATGAAAAAGTTGTCTTCATGAAAGTTGTAGATATTTTCATTGTCTAAATGATGGAATTTGAATCGAACGATTTGGTTAAGTATGTGAAGAGTTATGATCAAAACGGTGAGACAGTGTCAATCTATATCTCAACTGCGAACGTCAACCATAATTGGGGGATTTTGCCCACTTTAAGGACATGATTTCGCATTATGTTCTTCGTAGGATTGGTCGGTATGTTAGAGAGGTATCTTACATGGTTTATAAATGTAGGAACACTAAAGATTAATGGGAGATGTGCGAGAATCCTCATCGATACCGGGGCGCAACGATCATTTGTGAGTGAGGCATTCGCCGGGGGATTCAACGCACCCCTGGTACCGATGGCTCAAGCCCTATTGGTATCCACACCCCTAGGGGAAGACATCGAGAGAGATAGCCACTATCCATCGTGTGAGGTGGAAGTGGAGGGCCAAAACTTGTCGTGTGATTTCGTGCCGCTGAGTATGATTGAGTTCGATGCAATCCTGGGGATGGATTGGCTTGAGAAGCATCATGCTAGGGTCGATTGTTACACGAAAGTACTTGAACTCGAAGGCAATGAAGGGGTAACCTTACGCTTCGAGGGGGATAGGGCAAAATCCAATAGTTGTATCATATCCGCCGTGAGGGCTAAGAATATGATGAGGAAGGGGTGTCACGCATATCTAGCGTATGTGGTGGACAAAACCAAAGAAGATACGAGCATTGATGATGTTAGGGTAGTATGCAAGTATCGGGACGTCTTTCCTAAAGACTTACCGGGACTTCCACCCGATAGGGAGATTGAGTTCGTGATCGAGGTCGAGCCCGGCACCAAACCAATCTCCATACCGCCATACCGTATGGCACCCGCTGAACTTAACGAGTTGAAAATCCAATTGCAAGAGCTTTTGGATAACGGTTTCATTAGACCAAGCCACTCCCCGTGGGGAGCACCAGTTCTTTTTGTGAAAAAGAAAGATGGGACACTTCGAATGTGTATTGACTATCGTCAACTGAACAAGGTCACAATCAAGAATAGGTATCCTTTGCCTAGAATTGATGACTTGTTTGACCAACTACGAGGGGCAACCGTGTTTTCAAAGATCGATTTGAGGTCGGGTTACCATCAATTGAAGATTAAGGAAGACGACATACCAAAGAGTGCTTTCCGCACAAGGTATGGACATTTTGAGTTCCTTGTTATGTCGTTTGGATTGACAAACGCCCCAGCGGCATTCATGGACTTGATGAACCGAGTATTCCATAAATACTTGGATCGATTCGTGATTGTGTTCATAGACGACATTTTGATTTACTCAAAGAGTGAGGAAGAGCATGAAGAGCACTTGATACTCGTTCTTGAGACACTACGGGAGAAGCAACTTTATGCCAAATTTTCTAAATGTGAATTTTGGCTAAAGGAAATTGGCTTTCTCGGGCATGTGGTTTCGGGATCGGGAATTGCTGTTGATAATAAGAAGATAGAGGCCATTACCGAATGGGAGAGACCAAGGAATGTCAAGGAGATTCGTAGTTTCCTTGGATTGGCAGGCTATTACAGAAAGTTCGTGGAAAAGTTCTCTGTTTTGGCGTCGCCGTTGACGAAGCTCACTCGAAAGGGAGCTAAGTTTATATGGGATGACAAATGTGAGAAAGGATTCATCGAACTAAAGAAGAGATTGACCGAGGCACCGGTACTTGCATTACCCAAACAGGGTGTGGGGTACGATGTCTATAGTGACGCGAGCATCCAAGGGTTTGGGTGTGTGTTGATGCAGGAAGGGAGGGTAATTGCCTATGCTTCACGACAGTTGAAGAAGCATGAGGTAAATTATCCTACCCATGATTTGGAGCTGGGAGCAGTGGTGTTTGCACTGAAGATTTGGAGACATTATCTCTACGGGGAGACATGTCACATATACACTGATCACAAGAGCTTGAAGTACGTGTTTACTCAGAAAGAGCTAAACATGAGACAGAGACGGTGGATGGAGCTGATAAAAGACTACCATCTAGTGATAGAGTACCACCCAGGCAAGGCAAATGTGGTGGCAGATGCTTTGAGCCGGAAGAGCTCGTCTGGGGCATTGCTAGCTAATTTGAGGGCATTAAGAGCCCAACTGGAGGTATCCAGCGATGGTGCCTTATTGGCACGATTTGAGGTGAGACCTACTTTACTTGATGAGATCAAGAAGGGTCAGGAAACCGACGAAGAAATTATGAAGATCCGGGAACGCATGCAAGCGGGACCGGTGGAGGACTTCAGAGAAAGAGATGACGGTCTCTTATTATTTCGTGACCGAGTGTGTGTACCGGCAGATGAGGAGCTCCGAAAGTCCATCTTAGAGGAGGCTCATTCATCGGCGTATGCCATGCACCCGGGGGGCACGAAAATGTACCGTGACTTGAAAGAAAGTTACTGGTGGTCTGGGATGAAGAGGGAAATAGCCGAATACACTAGTCGATGCCTTACTTGTCAACAAGTTAAGGCGGAACATCAGCATCCAGCAGGCTTATTGCAGCCACTTTCCATTCCTGAATGGAAGTGGGAACACGTGACTATGGATTTCGTGGTAGGTTTACCACGGACAATCAGGAACTATGATGCAGTTTGGGTCGTTGTGGATAGGCTCACAAAGAGTGCACACTTCTTGCCTATCAACACTACCTACCCACTTGAGAGGTTAGCCAAATTGTATACGGATGAGATCGTGAGGCTGCATGGGGTCCCAGTGACCATTGTATCCGATAGAGACCCACGATTCACATCACGTTTTTGGCCGAAATTTCAGGAGTCTATGGGAACGAGGTTGAAGTTCAGTACTGCTTTCCACCCACAGACGGATGGACAGTCTGAAAGAGTCATACAGATCTTGGAAGACATGTTGAGGGCTTGTGCATTGGAGTTCCAAGGAAGTTGGGACAACCACTTAGCACTTGTGGAGTTTGCCTATAACAACAGTTATCAGGCAAGCATCGGCATGCCTCCATACGAGGCATTGTATGGGAGAAGGTGTCGTACACCGTTATGCTGGGACGAGGTTGGCATGGCCAAACTCGAGGGTACTGAGTTGGTTGAGGTCACCAAATCAAAGGTGAAGTTGATTCGAGAGAGACTCAAGGCGGCTCAGGATAGACAAAAGAGTTATGCAGATAAGCGTCGAAGAACCTTAGAGTTTAAGGTTGATGACGAGGTATTCTTGAAAGTTTCTCCTTGGAAAGGGATCATTCGGTTCCAAACCCGAGGAAAACTTAACCCACGATATATAGGTCCATTCAGAATTATAGAGAGGATTGGGGCCGTTGCATATTGTCTACAGTTGACTCCTGAGTTAGAGAAGATACATAATGTGTTTCATGTATCCATGCTTAAGAAGTATGTGCACGATCCCTCTCACGTATTGGAGAAGCCACCTGTAGAGGTACGTGAGGATTTGAACTACGCTGTTCAACCTATCAAGGTCACCGATAGAAAGGTGAAGAAGCTGAGGAGCAAAGAAGTCCCAATGGTTAAAGTCCTGTGGAAGAGCGATCGGGTCGAGGAAGAGACATGGGAAACAGAGGCTTTGATGAGGAAGCAGTATGCTTTCTTATTCGAGTAGAGCTGTGAATTTCGGGGACGAAATTCCTGTTAAGGGGGGGTGAACTTGTGACACCGCACCCGAACGTCCTTGAAAATTCGATTTAAAAATTCCAAAGTGATGTATTGAATTTCCGATTTCAAAACAATGGAAGAAACGATTAATATTTTACGAAGTATATGATTGAATATTGTATTGTTCAAACCCGCATTCGTTTGTAATTTTCATAATGTAAATTATTGGGATGAGCCTACACATATTGGAGATCAATAATGTGATTTAGGAAGTTGACTTGTTCTAAATAAATTAGGATGAGTACAAAAAGACATCTTTTGACAAAGATAAAACAATAGGACCCATTTTCCCCATTTTTGGAAGTATTGGTAGATAATTTGGATCCCAAATTAATTGGGATCAATTGGGAACCACTCCACATGATTAGAGTACCTACAAAACAAGAAAATTAAGTGAGGAGACTTACCTTGGCCGCACCAGCTGGAGGAGGGCTGCACAAGACTTGATTGGAATCAACCTTGAGACCCACCTTGTCAATTTCCGCACAAAATGGTGTGCTGTTTGTCTCCACTCATTATGGGAGTTATACTCGACCAAAAAACGTGTATAAGGTGTCTTTGGATAGCTTTTGAAGTCTATTTTCATATTTGAGTGGCCACAGTTCGAGAGGAGAAGTCAATCATCCAAAAATCGATCTGGAACGAGCAGAGGTCTGTGAACTCGAGCTGTGAGAGTGCTGAGACTGTTTGGCCAATATCTCGAGTTTTACCAATCCAATTAAGGCGTGTGAGATACCAAAAGAAAGCTCTCAAGACGAGGAATCCGTGAAGGTCTGGTTTGCATCAATCGGAGTAGAGGAAGGCTTCCAAATCGTCCGAGCAGAACGAGACCTCGCAGGGACGGATTTACTCTTCTAAGTGAGTTGTTAATCCCAAAACCTTTCCATTCATTTTCCAAATGATATGAACGATTGGTGGGACTATTATACACTACTCCAAGTGTATAAAACATCCCTATTAAGTTATTTTATTGATGTAAAGGTTAGATACTAACCTAGATGCAAACATTGGAAAACTAGGAATCGAGTTAGCCGGAAAACACCCGTTCTAGGGGCTGTTTTAGTATCAACGATTCGGGGTTGAAATAGCAACTTGAGGAGGCTGTTTAGCACCCATTTTCAAGCAAGGAACTAGTTCCCAATCTTCCTTGGCCGAGGCTTTAGCCATTGGATCGAGAAGGAAGGTTTTAAAGCTCATTTGAGGTGAGGATCGACATCTAGTTGCTTACAACTTGTAGGTTAAGCATGAGATTACCTAAATGCTTAAATAATGTTTTCCATGGATTATGATGATAACCTATTGATGGAATATTGATCTATTTTCCAAAGAACGAAATAAGAAATGATTTGGTAAAGTATTGATGAAAATGGAGTTAAATGAACTATTGTGTGAAATAGGCATTTTACTCATGTGTGAATTGTGTAGATACATAAATGATTATTTATGTATTACATTGAATGATTAAGTTGCTGCTACATATCTCTAAATATGTAGGGTTTTACAAATGGAATATATGATTGATAAGAATAATCTTAATAGTATTGAAATACTAGTTAATGATTGTTGAAATTGTTGAAGAATTGAATCTAAGGATTTGATTGTAATTGATGAACTTGATTGTGATGCAAGTGACTAAATTGATGTAATGTGATGCTAAGACCATGGTTGGGCAGTCCGTAGGGATGTCCCAAGATAGATTATTGATATTACAATTCTAGGCCTAGTGAGTGCTTAGGAATTGGGGTCTATGCCAATGTAAGGAGATGTACTTGAGCCCGTGCTCATAGAATTGCATTGGGTAGACATGATGAGGTGATTGTGTGCATGGGGATGTAGTCGAGTTGGACTCGAGAATGCACGGTGGAGTAGTTAGCTTATGTTAATTAAGGTGCATGGTGATGTAGTCGAGTTGGACTCGAGAATGCAAACATATGTGTTAGGGTTGAACCCTATGTATTGTTGTGACTAGGGGTCACGGGATTTTGGAAAAATGTTTTATAACAAACATGGGCCTTTGAGCCGGCTACTTGACTTTATATAAAGTAAGTATATATTTTGAAAGGGGTAATTTGAGATTACGGCCTATACTATATTATCACCCTATTTGAGGGTCTTGTGTGTGAAATACTTGTTGTATATCTATTAGATGCCTGCCACACCAGCACTTTATAGCCCTATAGAGTGCTGACCCCTTCGGGGGCGTCCCACCACCATTTTTCAGGTTGAGGCTAGAGCTTGCTTCCTGTGCTCGTTGCTCGAGAGATCATATAGGAGGGAAGACTTGGTTCGTGCTTCCTCCATTCTGTTTTTTTAACAATAATAAACATGCTCATGGATATTTTACTATAGAGCCTGCGTGCTCATGAATAGCCATGTGTGGCCCTTTTGTTTTAAACAAAGTTTTCCGCTGCGTTATGAATTACTTATTATGTTTGTTTATGGATGTACATGTGTGAATGATATTCAAGACGCCTTGTATAATATGAATGTGTTGGACTGCGGTTGACTATTCGTATTGTACGGCGGGTTGTTGACGTGTCCGGATAGGTCCGGGGCGTGACATCATCACTCTGTAAATCCAAAAAAACTTTCCAGAAGTTAAAAAACAAACATCATTACAAATGTTTTAAAAATTGAAGATTGTAGGAGAGAACTAATAAAATTGGGTCTATCGATTGTTTGTTCGGCTCTATACAACTTTTCCCAGACTCCCAAAGAGACTCTTAATTATTTGATGTCTCTTCATCTCTTTGGTGACCTTTCATTTGTTCGGCACTTTACCGCGGTTTGTCTGGATTTTACTTCCATCTATGATATGTAGTCTATATAGATAAATAGGTATATATATAGTCTGTCTGGAGTATTTGTCTTCAGCCCGCGGATTGGCCCGCAACCCGTACGGGTTGGCCCGCTAAACCCGCAACCCGTTAGGGTTGACCCACCAATCCAGCGAAATAATCGGGCCTGAAAATGATAACCCTAACCCACTTATAAGTGGATTGAAACGGGCCAACCCGCGGGTTTTGGCCCGTTTTGACGGCTCTACTCACGGATAGAAAATGCAACCATGGGTCCATGATAGAGAAATGATAAGGTGGGGTTAAAGTCAAAATTCTTTAAACTGATAGGATAAGGTGGGGTTTAAACGCAACCATGGGTCCAATATTATGATATTTACTCCCTCTGTCACGCTAAAAAGTTCTCGCTTTCCTTTTTTAGCAGTCCCAAAAAGAAGTTCTCATTTCTTTAAATGACAAGTTATCTACATCAAAACAGTTCAAAACAATGCAAAACAGTGTCGAAACAATGTCGAAACAGTAAAATTTATCCCCTGATAAGTTTGTTTCCTGAATATGTGTGTAAGTCAAACCGGGTACTTCTTAGCGGGACGGAAGGAGTATATAAAATTATAAAAAAAATCTGAAAACTTATGGGATGAAAAGCCTGATTACAATTCAAATGTGTCAATAAACCTAATTTTAAACCAATACTCTATACTTTTTATCTAAGTACATGACCTTATGTAATGATTTTATAATAGTATAACACCTCATTTGGACTATGTACTCTGTATTTAAGGAGTATTTTCATGAAATAATACTCCAAAATAACATATAATAAAAAGAAATAATTCGTAAAAGAATAATTCGTAATTGCATAAGTTGATGGCAAAAGTAAAAATAGCTGTAATTAAGTCCAGGATATAATTTTCCAAAGTAATGTCAGAAAATAAGATATAATAACCAAGTAATTAACATCATCATCATCATCTTTATATGATCATCAAATAACACTCAAGTTAAATTCAACATTTTCATCTAGATGACGGATGACGTATGAGAAAGTTGTGCGATTGCTACACTTATTGTTTATGTGTAAAAGTTTATACTAAAATATGTCAGGTTTAGAAAAACCTTGATTTTGATATGTTTGTTTGGAAAAGAACATCATACGTAGTAGTATTTTAGGTTTTAGTCTTTTAGGATGCTAGCTTTAGTCATCATGTAATTAATTTTAGTATTTAACAATTGTATATTTTGTATTGTAGCAACACAAAAACATGGGGTCACTGGGATGAAGTTTCTTTTTCTCTTTTAAACTATTGTTAATCTCCTATTCATTTAATGTATTCATTCAAGTGATCAAATCATGTTTCAATTTTTTTTTTTGTAAAATGCGGGAAGTATACGTTTTGTATGGGAAGTGGAGATTTTTTCGTTTTTAAACTGACTAACATTATTTTTGTTTTAAACGCGTTTTTTTGTTCAAAAAATGGTACGTGTTTTAAACGCAAAAAAGCTCTACATAACCAGCTTCGAACCAAGTGTCCATGTACTCTGTATTTTCATATCCTCTCTCCCTAGAATTCTCACATCATCTCTATTTCTACTGAGCTTGAAGACTACCTGCATTGGAAGCAGGATTTAATATACAATGTCTAAATGAATAACATGGCAGACTTTATTCACATTAGACAGGGCACAGTTGCGGATGCTCTCAATACAAGAAGTTTAGCTATCCGTATAATATCATCTACCCTTTTTGTGATTAAAACTAGGTTTGGCATACATGTTCTGCTCATAAAAGGCTAAAATTTCTTAATTTCAGTCATTAATTATGTAAGTAGCCATGTTTGGATAAAAGGTTGAACCAACTTGAAGCTAAAAAATGATGTGATTACAAATATTACGGAGGCTAGGGTTTCTATTTAGCCTACCGCTCAAAATCCTTATCACAGATTATTTGTATTTGTTTTCAGCCTCCGGAAAATTCTCCATAGACAGCGCCAATGAGGGACTTTGGGTACAACAGACCACACTACAGGGACAACACTATTCACTAGCTAACAAGGGAGTTGGAGTTCCAAGAGAGTTAATTATCTTCCTCAAGTTTTATTACCTCTGAGGCTCATGCCTTTTCTGATTATTATTGAGAGATTAATCTCATTATTGCTGCCAAGTTATCCCCTTATTATTCTCCATTCAAAACCTTCATCATTCTTTTCAGAAACCCATCATTATTAAAAACTACAATGGTAATATACCAATATTTATTAAATCATAAAAATATCACTACTATTAGTCTATTACAATAATTATACAAATATCGCAATATTATAATAAATATTTTCACTTAATATATTATATGTCTTTAATGTAAATTTTAATTTTTCCAGTCGCAATTTTAGCTATTTTTGTACATACAGGTCTACTTCATTCAACTAGTATTTCAGTTTTAACACTTTAAAGTTCAGTATCAAACAATAGCCCATAATTCAGACTTTAGCTTCCAATTCCAGCTCGTCGTGTCAAACATAGCCTTAATTAGTAAGTTCTTTCATTTCTTTTCTATTATTGCGACTCTGTTTCGGTTTTGGAAGGTTATTTCCCTGAACCTTATCATGTTGTTTTTATAAATATTACTAAAACCCCTAAATACTGTAGACAAAATATAACTTGCTTTGAGTACTTTTTCTGAAAAAGAGACTAACTATGTCGTTTGTTCCCTTCATTTAATATTACATTTATTATTATAATACTACATTTATTTTTAATTACGAATAAAATAATACTATATTTAATAAATGTAGTATTATTATAATACTACAAATTTTAATTACCATTTATCTAGTAACTAGTTATTTAACGCGCGTTGCGCGTTCATGGTAATGCCCAAGACCACTGTAGGGATATTAATTCATCGATTTAGGTTGAGTCAATATATGAGTAATATGAATATAATATTTGAATACATAGTTTGTTAATTATTGATAAGGAATCATAATCAATAAAGTATCTATAGGATAGATTATATTAGAGAAAACAATCCATTAGGCGATATTAGAGAAAACAAAGAGAACAGATCAGAGGAATCTAAAGGTAACTTAATTTTGCTCTTTTTTTAGACCGAGCATGGCTTCAAAACAAAGCCATATTAATAAGAAGTATAGCAAAAATTAACACCGGCAGGATCTCTGCAAATCCATACTTCAACTTATCTACACAGTATGATATGTTGATAACCTTGCTGGAGAACAAAAGATAAAAACTTCATCCTGCTACTATTCACTTGGACTTCAGCCTTACCATTATTCAGTTCTTCGCTTTTGGTCAGTTAAGATTCTTCCTTAGAGAAAAAAACTCGGTGGTAGACAAAAATCTTCCTCCTGGTTCAAAATTTCTACATCATCATCTGCCTCCAGCATTTCCAAGTTGTAAAAGCGATCCAACAGCTTCAGAACTTCATCAGCACTGAAGTGCTTATTAAAACTTCTCCTCAGATATTCTGTTAAACCATAAAGGACAAAGTGATGATGGATTCCTTGATATTTTGCAGGATGATAAATTTCAAGAGCTTCTAACACCCTCAGCTCCAGTTCCACGTCCAGCTGCTCCTTGGAGAGAGATGAAGGTTGAGATTTGTAAGGGCAATGGACGGACAAGACATCCTGCTCCTCTTGAACTTCTTCCTTTTCCTCCTCTTTAACAACTTCTTCCCTCTTACGCTTACGTTTGGTGCCTGTGTTTTGGCCCATTCTTGTGAGCTGTTGTGATCCTAATTCAACCTGGATTTTCAGTTCTGAAACTCTGAATACCCGGCGCCCAGCATAACCTAGTTTGTTTCTAACTCCATACTGTGAGCCACTTTAATGATGTCGCTTATAATTACTTGGAACACTACATGTACTTAGGTGTAGGCATGTTTTTTCATAAAAATGCAGATGGATGGTGTAATAGGATGTCACAAGAATAATGCTAAATGTAAAGTAAGCATGTGAACGTTTGATACCCTGAATAGAGTTTTTTTTCAAACTTAAACATGCCTGCATGAGTTTTTTTTTTCGAAGTAAAATAATGCAATCCTACGACTTCAAGGAGAGGCAGACATGCAAAATCCTTTTTGAAAAATATGAGCACACGTGTGAGCAGGTCCAATGCCAATGACATAGCTAACATCTACACAAATGGAGATATAATAGTCCTTAGTGGTCATACAATCACGTCCAATGCCAACCCATTCGAGTTAGAAAAATAGCTATTTGAGTTGAAATGTAAAGGAAATTTGCTTGGAATTGATATCAAGACTTGCATTGAAGGCAGAAGATTGGGGGCAGCAGAAGGGTGAACCCTCTCCAGCCTCCATTCATGGCGCTTAACGAACCAGTGATGTTATACCATAGTTCATCATAAAGCACTGATGACAATCTTTATCAGACAAGTAAGAAGAATGCTCAGAGTTCTAACCGAACCGCATCCTTAAAGCATCACAATATAATGCAGCTGTACAAACATACCCCTTTGGCCAAAAAATAATTACTCTTATGAACATGGACAAATTCAAACCACATAATGTCATTTTTGAAGGACGAAGCAATTATTATTATTAGACAAAATGAAGGATGCTTTGGCAGATAGATAAGAAAACCTAAATAGCTTGCTTGAGTAATACACCACCACCTAGTGGGCAAAGCGCAAAATGAAGTTCCTCATAACAAACACAAAATACCATGATTTAGTAATTGTAGTCCTTCCCGTGAAGGCTGTTTGAAGCTGCCTCGTTATGATTGGGAGAGCCTTTGTATGTCCCAAGTGTTGTTTCAGAATTAGCTTTGCATCTGTTTTCATCGGATCCACTTTATTATCTTCCTGATTTTCTTCTTCGCCCTCTTCATCATTCTCTTCTTCAAGATCCGCATCTTCTGATTTTCTACTTGTTGCACTGAAACTCGATCCCACTGTTTCCTGCTCTGGCTCTTGATCTTATTTTGGATTCGCTCTAGTCCGACGAAGGTGAATCCCGATTTGGTGAATTCCGCCACATACTACGATGGATTGGCAGGGTACGAAGAAGCAAATCTGTCGTATGGCGAGTAACAGTTGTGTAGCGTGGCGAGTAACTGCTGTAGCGGATGTCGTCGTTAACCTTACAATACGTTAGAAGACGGAGATAGACGGCTAATAGGAGCATATACAATGGGCAGAGCTTAATGTACAACCCCTTAAAACATAGGATGACCACCAACACATTTTTTATACCCAAAATAACCTTACCTCTATTCGTGCTTATAATATTTTAGAGATAATAATATGTCTTAGTCAAATGTCCAAATTTGAAACGAGATTCTTTTTAATATTTAAAGTCAGAAACCAAGAGAAGAGCAAATAAATCCATCATAGATCAAAGTACAAAATAACACAGTATTGGATAATTTTATAAGTAAAAATTTCCACAACATTATTGAATATAGCAAGGTGCCAGATAAGTGAAACAGAACGCCATCAAAAGTAGTGTACAACACAAACAATGATGAAAAAGATGGAACATCCAAAACACAATAATACAAACCATGAAGATCTCAAACTCACAATATATTAATAATGGGGGCATGGAGCATGGACTTATATAGTCGAATTAAGAAGCGGGGATGGTGTTCTGCTTGATCAACTCCTGAACCTTCAACCAAGCAGGCCTATCCAAGATTTTAGCAACCCAGGCAGCAACATGTTGACGTGCTTCGAATAGAGATTTGGCTTTAGTACCCACAAGGTAATTTATGAGAGGTGTGTGATGAAGATCAACCAATGTGAAACAGTCCCCGCCCAAGTATTTTGAAACCTTAAGTCGCTCCTCGTACACGTCAAGAACCTTGGAGAGCGCCTCCTCATGTTGCGCCGCCACGGCATCGTCGGTCGCCGTGCCGAGCATGGGCTTTATGACAAACTCATAGTTCAACTTGGTAGCCACACTATCAAATTGGTGAGCCTCAACCTCCATCCACACCGACATGATCGCCATCGCTTTATGATCTTTGGGGACCAATTGGCTCCCACAGTCGACATATGTATGTGCAATATATTGGGTAATAGCTCTTGATTCTACATGATAAAACAATTTTATGTGATGTTTTGAGCTGAGTACTAATAAACTATAATGATGAGACTCAGATCAATCACTCCTTGCAAAATGTTTTCTAAGCATAGTAATAAAAAAATCTTATTTCATTCATTATTTAATGTAACACATAGTAAAATATGAGATTTCATTTTAATTTAAAAGGAACAAACCTGTCTAAAGAGTAATTCAAGGTCATATGTTTGAGTTTATATTTTTTATTTGTCTTATTATATGAGGTAGAGTTTTATATGTGACTGTGTGTGTATTCGGACGATGTGGATATGTAGAAATATATAAGTATTTGTCTCAGAGTAAAACATAAATTACTAAATTATCATATTGAGAGTAAGATTTTAGACCAATGCCCCTATCCTTGTAAATAGGGAAAACTGTCAAATAGGTCCTCGAACTTTCATAAAAAGGTCAATTAAGTCCTTCTATAGGAGGTTCTGTCCGGCCGTCGCAATTTGGGGCAGTTCCCGGTGGAATTTTTTGATGAAATTTTTTGAGCATCTTATTCACCAAGTGTAGTTTACTCATACCAAATTTCAATTAAAAATTCAACCGGGAACACATTCAAATTAATTCTTGAAGATAACTGCGCATTTTTGCGTTCTCGAATTAATTTGAATGCGCTCCCGATTAAATTTTTAGCTGAAATTTGTTATGAGTAAACTAGACTTGATGAATAAGATGCTCAAAAAATTTCATCAAAAAAATCCACCGGGAACCGCCCAAATTGCGATGACCGGACAGAGTCTTCTATAGAAGGACTTAATTGACTTTTTTATGAAAGTTCGAGGACCTATTTGACAGTTTTCCTTGTAAATATATATTGTCCACATAAATATTAGTCCAAACCTCTGATCTGGCTACTCCTCATCAGTTACATTTTGACCTTTATGGATGAATTATTACTCAAAGCCCTCTATGTTCTAATTGGATTAATCTGTTTGTACTATTACAGTGTGTAAACACACACATATAAGGATATAGGCCCCGAGACATATACCGCATATATGTATTTCTATAATATATTCTCCTCTTTTGGACTTCTGTTAGGCTCAATTCTTTTTTACTGATCACTCTTTCGTATTGCGTCTTATTTCTATTTTTATGATTCAAGCGATGGAGTTTGTGCTCTAATAAATTCTAGAGTTTATGAAAATCAATTTTGACCATAGTCAATTTTTGTCGGTTCTCACCATACCATTAGGCTACTTCTCTCACCATAGGATCTCTCCCTATATTCACTATCGCACTCTCCTTCCTCGTGAGTTGGACTACTCCGTGAAGGTAAGGAAATCAATGGGGAACAATACCTCCATCATTTTCCCCAATGGGATTTAAGCCCCAAGACCTCCCACAAAAAAGGGATTTGGGGTATGTGGTTGTGGGCCCTGTGGCCAACCAAGTGAGGCACACCGCCAATCCCCATGCCTTATTCGTATATCCAAATTTTGGATATTTTTAATTGTACCCGTTTCGGTCTCAGGTCCAACCAGATTAAACTGGATTTAGGTTAGTCCAGATCGGATTAGATTTAATTAGGCAGTTCAATCCAAACAAGAACAGATAGACCGGAAAATTTCACTTCAATTAATATAAAAACATCCGTAATTTCATTTCTAGAAGATGCCTAGAAAATAACCTTGTAAAACTGAAAAAGTAACAATAGAAAAAGAATGAAATGACTTAATATTTCACAAAAAATGATTCTCCGTAGATGATAGATTGACATATAGCTCAATCACTTGCGGTATTCATGAGTTTAAGATAAAAATGATAAGTGTTTGATCATTGGCGGAATATATAGCTTTTAATAAATAAAAAAATTGATTGACTACTTTCAAATATTTCTTTCCATTATTAGCTCCATAAGGCCTTTAAAAGCGTATACTCAAACTAGTACGGAGTATCACGTATGAATTGAAACAACAACAACAATCAACAGTACTAATATGTAGGGGCGGAGCAAAGGGAGATGTCAGGATGGTCAGCCGATCTCGCTGAAAGTTTGAGAGTATAGAGCTCTCAAATATCTTCGATTTGGTATATTATCGCCTCCATAACTCAGCTCATTACGAGTAAAGATTTATGATTTCTAGTAAATCAGCACTATCTAAACATAAATCAACAAAATTTGATGCGTGGTATTGATTATTTTCCCAAATTTTAAAAATAACGTTTAGTTATCTCATTATTTACGTGACATGATTCAGAAACAGAACAAAGACAATCTATCTTTTTGCTACGAGTCCATATTTACCTAAACTACAAATGAAACATTCAATTCGGACATTGTCTAAAAACGATCTACTATTTTCATTTTGATTTTCGACCCTCCTGAGTCGTTTTTTGGCTCCGCCACTGCTAATATAATAATAAGTTAAATAAGTAAATAATGTTACCGAAGAGAGTCAAATCTCCATCCTCAAAGGCTGGTACTTTACCGAAGGGCTGAGACAATCATTAACGGAAACAGAAGACATGAATTAGCATAAGCTACTACCAATGAATACAAACAAATCAAAGTTTGGAAACTGTTATATGGAGTATGTAATTATTAAGTACAGTTTGACTCACATTAAGGCGAAGAAAAGGTTCTTTTTTGAGTTCTCCAGCCTTAAAATCAGTAGAAACAAACTCGTAATCGAGCTCCTTCTCTTTGAGGCAGGCAATGACTTTCAACACAGCCGGTGATAACATGATGCCGTGGACCTTAAGCGTCATTTTTTCCGGTAAGAAGTGTGACAGTAGATAGTTATGTTTCTAAGTTTAGTCAGGAAATAGGAATCGAGACTTGGAATTAATCTTCAGATCCCATAGCGTTATTTATAGATTTTGGGAGACCATCTTTCGTTTTCCTACGACAGCAATAGTGTTATCTTTTGGAATTCTTCCCCTCCGTTTACTCCCACTTTTCAAGGCTAATTGATTGCTGTTTTAATTAATCAAATTGATTCATTCATTGTGGACAGCGACGGATCCAGGATTCTGAGTCAAATGGGGCGAAATTTTTCGTTAGTGTAGGGGTGAATTTTTTTTCGTGTTAGTGTAGCGGGGTGAATTTTTTTCCCCTAGTGTAGCGGGGCGAAATTTTTTCGCTACTGTGGGGCTATGCGGCTATTTTTATTCAAAAAATGACATTAATACATGCACATCCCGAACGGCATTTAAATCTAATACATTTTAAGTTTAGACGATGACAAAGACATCAACCAATACATTTTTAATAACTTCTACATTATTTAACCTCATAAATCGGTTATTGAATTGTAATTTTTGTCAACCAAAGAGGGTGTTCGTGAGTCATGACTCATGAGAAGTTTTCTTAATATTACAATAGTAGTATACTAGTATGTATGAGATTGTTATTTTTAGAATAATGTGCACCACATACACACACACACACACATATATATGGCGCATATTATATTTTAATATTTTTATTAATTCTATAATAATTTAAAGTTTATTATCCATTCAATAAATTATTTTTAGAAACCAAGAAGTAAATGAATTATGTAATCTAATGTCTATAAATATTTATATTTTGGATTCATTTCGCGTGATCTAAAAATTGTGTAATTAGTGTGTCTGGTATTTAATATTGTTTGATATATGTTTTACAAAATCCAGTACTTGTTATCTAATAAAGATAATTAAACATTACAAAACTAGGAATTCTTATATAATAAGTATCCTAAATCTTAAATAACGAGTTACTCTATTGTTTATTTGTTTAAGTTATGTAAATTATTTTAGATGTTTATTCTTTCAAATCTCCAATTAAGTATTACATTATGTAAGACTATATACTAACTTTGAAAATTAAAAGCTAAGGGGGGCGAATCTAATTAAATTATGAAAGTTTTATGAAAATATTACATATATGGTAAAAAAAAAAATGAATGTCCAAGGGGGGCGGTCCCCCCCCCCCGCCCCGCCCCCCCTAAATCCATCCCTGATTGTGGATGATCATAGGCAATTCTTTTTTTTATTATATAAAAGCTACTTTAATAATAATATTGAGAAATCATACAAAACAATTTTCAGACAGTAATTATAGCTCAGATAGTCATATGAATAGAAATAGAGTGAATCACATCATACAAAACAATATGAGACAAGAACCGCACAATTTTAAACCTAAAAAGACTGGAATCGAAATATTGTCTATAAAAAAGTACTCCAGATATCCAAATATTTAAACCACATGTACTCGAGGTGCTTCTAGAGAAGGACGAGCTACTGCAATATGGGTCAATACTAAATTCTTCTTCTTACTTTGTTCCCCATAGAAGTAGAAACATGTGGAGTCAAAAATAATCTTTATGCCTCTTTTATTCTCTACGCAGCCCAATAGATTGTGGACGGAAACCCCTAATCAAGCGAAGCTGGCCGCAGCACCGAAGCAACTCTCCACACCATGGGAGACAAAACACACCAGAGCGTCGGTGTCCGAGAAAGAACCACTACTATAGAATAGAACAAACTCAATAACAAAAGAAGAACATACAGTTAAGTTCAGTCATACTTCTACCAAGAATCTAACAATCCCCGAGAGCGAATGTCACGTTAACTTCTAACGAAGATGGTTGCATGCTAGGGTTTATAGTGCCAAGTGTTATCGGAACGGGTGTCTCTTTTACATGCATATACTCTTTTATTCGTTTTGGTTTATTTTATTGCTCCTACTACTTTCTCCAAATATTATTTTAAAAAATTAGCTATATAGAAATTAAATATTATTTCTCACATAGGAAGCTCATTATTTTGTTCCTCAAATAGGACCCAATCACTCCTATTTTTGGTATATTTTAGGCATGAAAGAGATAAACATAGAAATATTAGTCATCAAAATATTTCTCTCCTTATTTGAATGTTCTTATATGTTTCTTGTAAATTTTTCCCCACAATGTCAAGAACAATGTCTAGATGCAGACATTGTGGTTGACATTATGATCAAAATTTTATAAAACCGTGCAAAGAAGAAGAGAAATGTCAATACTTTATTTTTATGTGTCTATCTCTCATGTCACATGTGCACCGTGCACATTGTAGTATTGTAGATGTTCCAAGTCCTTCTTTTGGGATGAACACATACTTAATTCTACTTTACAATTTTGTCCATGTTCTAATTTTATTTTAAGAAATTTCTTAAATATGTGAATCTAAAAAAATCGTACCCAACTTTTATGCCTCGTAATATCCAATAGACTATAAGTCTATAAGTAAATAAAATTTACATACTTAAAATCTAAAATAAAATAATAACAAAACTAGTAGTGTCACTTACAATGAAGGTATTGTTTACATACTTAAAATCTAAAATAAAATAAAATAATAACAAACTAGTAGTGTCAATATTATTACATAGTTAAAATGAAGGTATTGTTTACAAATAAATACTCCGTAAAAACTAAGACATAAAATGAGAAAAAAGGAATATATATATCATACGAGCTGAGTATACACTGCTATTACGCTAACTCACTCATATTCATGTCACTCGTATTATTAGTTTTGAAAACTATTAAACGCGTGTTGTCTGGTTTTCTAAAAGTTGGGTTCTATTGTCAAAGAAAAATACCTAGACCTACCCATTTTGAGGTACACCATTTGTACCCTTAATTTGTGTGATTCATAACAACAATTTATAATAAATAATGCAATTAATTTAACAACGGTTTTTTCTAAACAACACAAACAGAGATGTAAATGGGGTACACCAAGAATGACTTTGTGAAAAGTGAAAGTAAGACTTTGAATTTTTAAGTATTATATTCCCATATGGCCATATATTTTCTATGGAGTATAGCATTAATCTTATTCGCATCGTATGACGTATATGCGTGCGTACTCCTAAAATATTTGTTGATTTGAGTACATTTGTCGTGTCTTGCTTTCGAATAACTTTGATTTTGTCAATTGTGAATTTCTCGATCACATGTTCATGAATACGTGGTAGGTAGCTTATTGCAAATGCCAATTTTAGGAGAATGGTGAAGTAAAAATTAAAAATGTTCGTACATCGGTACATAACTACATACCTTCCTTTTTCCACTAATCCGTCAGTGATGACCTCAGAACTCGGTCATCGCAAGCTTTCTCCGACGAACTTTCGGTGAAACACACATTAAGTGGATGATTCGGGTTAGCCCTATGCCTCTCTATGTTCACTAAATAGAATTACAATTTACTTTTCCACCATTTTGTCAGAATAGAGTATGAAACGCTTAGTGTGGATGGGTTCTACTTTTATGGATTGAGAACATATATACATTAATTATGAGTATGAGACAGAAATTTTTGTAGTAATCATTGTTTTTATATATAAAATAGACTCATATATTTTATTTTTAATAGGACTTTAAAAAGAAAACTTATTTAAATAATTGAGCATTGTAGCTCATTAGTCGTCATTCTGACATATAAAGAAAATATATTACTCCGTAAGTCTTATTTTAGAATTTTTTTAATCATCAAAACTGCAGGCCTCTATTCATATCAAAAGATTCAGGATCAATACATCAAGTAAAGGGAAAATAAAACTGACACAAACTGAAACTCCAACAACTACGACTGTAACCCTATGGTGAGACTTTGACTGTAACCCTGAGAGAGCAACACGAATCGCTAACCATGTAGACATGTAGTGGGCTTGACACAGCCAAATCTGTTCCCATAGATCCAACCATACCCAATGACATAAAGAGTGGCAAAAAACTCAAACAAACTGATAAAACCAACAACAAAAGTGGACACAAGAAAATAAATAACAAATAGATAAAAAATACAAGAAAAACTTTCACAAACTCTAGCACCTCGTACATCACATGGTGGTGGTTCAGGAGGAGGTCGTACCACCGGTACCATGCTAATTGATCCTCCATGACCTTTGACTGCCAAAGACCAAGCATCAATCCTCCGTCCCTGTATAACCAAACGCATCCCTGCTCCGTGCGACCAGAGTAAACGGATAGGCGGCGCCGATCTTCTCTAACAATGACAACCACGCCGCTTCCTTGAACCTTGATCACAACGCCGATCTGCTCAAGCCATGACAGCAAATCCGCCCTCCTCCACCGATCTCCGCCCTCCGCGTCTGACCTGGACTCCAGTCGAGCACCAGCGACCAAGGGAAAAAGACTCTAGCGGCCGACAAAGTCGAAATCGGAAAAAGACTCCAGCAGCCGACATAGTCGAAACCCTAGAGAGAAAACTCAATTCTTATTTTAGAACTTTGTCAGTATATATATACTCATATTCTAAACAATTTGTTTTATTGAATAGAAAAAAGACTTCATAATATCTAACCCATTATGTTGGTATTATTTAAGTTGAAACAAATTTAACATTTTGAAATTGGAAAAATTGGAAATCATTAATTTAACTATAACTAAGTTTTACACATATTTACTCAGTTAATTCAGTTTTTTTACTGCAATTCAGCATTGTCAATATATTCCTAGTAAACTTTTTTAATTAAAACATCCCTTTTATTATTATACATCAATTTTTGCCATTTTTTGTTAATAATTACTCCCTCTGTCCCTGAAACAAGTCCCCTTTACTTTTTGAGCAGTCCTTGAATTAAGTTCCACTTTTTCTTATTTGGCATATTATTATCTACATCAAAATAGTGTCAAATAGTGTCTAAACAGTCTAGAAGCAGTGTCAAAACAGTAAAATTTACCCCCCCCCCCCAATAAATTTATTTCCATAATATGTGTGAAAAGCAATGGAAAACTTGTTTTGGAGACGGAGGAGGGAGTATGATTTAAAAAGTCAAACATTTCAATGTAAAAATATACATAATATAAATTTGGAGTTTGATTTTTTTTTGTTACTTCAAACCTATTTTGGAAAAACCGAATGGTGTAAAAATTAAAAGTTAATAATAA